CCTGTGCGGCCCACTTGAAAGCGAGTTATGGCAGGGACTGCCTTCCCTATTCCTCTTGAGCGGCAACACGTGGTTCGTCCACAGCTCCGACATTTTCACAAAAGCCTAAAGCATCTCTACAGATTTTTGCAGTCGCACCTTGTCATTCTGAAAAAATGAAAAAAAAAAGGTTGCTGATCGGGTGCCTGACCGCACAGGTCAACTTTGTCAGTACATGTCGCAAACCTCTCGTGTGCAGGAAAGGTGACAGTGACCCCACGGTCCTGAAGGTGTCCAACACCCACCAAGTTCCTAGAGAACGAGGGGATGTGAAGACCGATGAGGGAACCAGAGGGGACGGCCGGACACGGAAGCGCGGTAGAACAGCGAGCGAAGGGTGGTCCATAAGTGGGATCAGCCAAAGCAACTGGGACTGGTGCAGAGAGCAGCGCTACTATGGTGTGGTCGTACAAGAAGCACTGGGACGCACTGGAATCAATCGTGAAGGAGAGCGACACGCCAGCAAACGCCACGCATGGGCTAGTAACTACACACGGGCCTACACTAGCAACAGGGAAGGATCCTAACTTAGGTACACTCAAGTGAACAGATTCGACAGTACTAGGGGCATCGAAAAGCACAGCAGAGGTGAATTTGATCTTTGGACATATCAAACAAAAGAAAACTATCACAAAGCAGACCAGGCCAGCACAAAGGAAACGAGTCAGGCCTGAAACGCTCACGGTAAAGGTCGTCGAGGTGACTCAAGCAGCGCAACGCAGAGTAGTTAGGACGGTTGCAGGTAGTGCCAGCACGAGGGCCAGTAAGGATCCGGTACTGGCTGGGCCGCTGCTGGGGCCGACACCCCTCGGGACACCAGGCCCCCACGGCTGCTATGGGCACCACTGCTAATGGGGACGCCACCGCTGCTTTCCCCACTGCTGAAATAGTTGTGGCTGCAGTTCCTGTTACTGCAAAATTCTAGCGGACGCCATGATAAAAGCTAGCTGGGGGTAGGAGCGGCAGGCTAGAAACGGCTGGAGCAAGAGTGGATGGAGGTAGGAAGGGCTGGAGCTAGGAGCGGCTGGAGCAAGGGACCGTTGGAGCTAGAAGCGACTAAGAACACCAATCTACTGCTGGAGCGAGGAGCGGCTGGAGCTAGAGGCGGCTGAAGCTAGGAACGGCCGGAGCGAGACATGCCTGGAGCTAAGGGCTGCTGAAGCGAGGAGCAGCTGGAGCGATACTAGGAACTACCAACAAAGAAACAGAAGCTTAGGAATATTCAGCTTAGGAATATTCAGCTTAGGAATATTCAGCTTTCCCCACTGCTGAAATAGTTGTGGCTACAGTTCCTGTTACTGCAAAATTCTAGCGGACTCCATGATAAAAGCTAGCTGGGCGTAGGAGCGGCAGGCTAGAAACGGCTGGAGCAAGAGTGGATGGAGGTAGGAATGGCTGGAGCTAGGAGCGGCTGGAGCAAGGCACCGTTGGAGCTAGAAGCGACTAAGAACACCAATCTATTGCTGGTGCAAGGAGCGGGTGGAGTGAGGAGCGGCTGGAGCTAGAGGCGGCTGAAGCTAGGAACGACCGGAGCGAGACACGCCTGGAGCTAAGGGCTGCTGAAGCTAGGAGCAGCTGGAGCGATACTACGAACTACCAACAAAGAAACAGAAGCTTAGGAATATTCAGCTAGGCAAGGCGGGCTAGGAACGCCAGTTGGGGCACAAACCGAAACTACGCAAGAAAAGTGACTGCGGCTGCCCGCCGCTGCTAGAGGTGCCAATGGCAGGAGGCGTGCACGAGACAGTGGGCACTGGTGGGGCTAGCACTGCTTGTGGCTGGTAATGCTGGTGCTACTAGCATTATTGGTGTCTGGTGGTGGCAGTAGCGGTAGCTGTGTGTGTGGTTGTCGCTGCCGAGAGGGGCTGTGGGTGGCTGGGAATGTCTGTGGGCTGCTGGAAAGGGCTGTGGGCGGCTGAGAAGGGCTGTAGGCGGCTACGAGCGGCTGTAGGCAGCCATGGGCGGCAGTGGGTGGCTGTACGCGGCTATGGACGGTTAGAGGGCGGCCATAGGTGGTTGTGGGCGGCTGCTAGCGCTGTGGCGGCTGGTAGGGTGATTTGGGCGGCTACTGGCATATGTGGGCCCTTGCGCGCGGCTATGGGAGGCTGTAGGTGGAAATGGGCGGAAGTAGGAGGAAGTGGGCAGTTACGAGGAGCTGTGGGCGGTTTGGAGGGGTCGTAGGCGGCTGGGAGGGGATGTGGGCAGCTAGGAGGGGCTGTGGGCGGTTAGGAGGGGTTTTAGGCAGCTGTCGGCAGCTGGGAGCGTGCGACTGCTCGCTGCTTAGCGCAGCTGCGGGCGGCAGGTCGCGTGCACGGCTGTTTCTACTGCGGAATGTGAGTTTGCCATGCGTGCGCGCCCACTGCATGCATTTGCGGCTGCAGTGGCGTGCGCGGCTACCGCTGGCTAACGCGCGCACTGATGCTGCTGGTGCGTGTGTGGCTGCTGCGTGCATGCGCGGCTGCTGTTGCGTGCACGATTGGAGTCGTGTGCGTGGCTGTTGGTGGCTAATCGCGACTACATGGGCCCGCGGGGGGCCTTATGGAGGGTGACGAAATGGGCCCTTCTTGAGAGTGACGAAACGAGGGCTCGCGGGGGCCCCTGAATGCGACTAAACGAGCATATAGGGGCCTTTGAACGTGACCAAAAGGGCCCCACGAGGGCCTGTGAACGCAATAAAACGGGCCCGCGGGGGCCTTTGAACACAACGAAAACAAGGCCCGCGGGGGGCGTCCTACCTACAACGAAACGGAGCCTAAGGGATGGGTGCCTCAGCTGAAACCACTAAGGAAAGGAGCAGAAGCGTGCATTCCGAAATTGTCTTCGGAGGGGGGTCCCTTTGAAAAAACGAAGTTGGTGGCATGTGTCTGGGTTTGCTGTCGAGATGTTCTGTGGTGTATATTCATACCCTATTAGATGGCCACTTTGGGTGCAACACGCATACAAAGCGTAACTACCAATAGATGGGGAGCTGCATGCTGCACAGGACACATGTTTTTTATCATTGCCGTATGCCTTTGCGACTATGTGTGATTTCAACCCTTATTCTCTTATGTATCATCCAAAGTGGGTGCATTTTTTTTTTTTCGCAAGTGAGTATTGAACGTTTTGTAATAGTCCTAAATGTGAAGCCCTGTAATGCATTTATAAGTGTGTTTATTGCGGCAATAATTTTGCCTAACCGTGCACCAATGAAAATGCAATACAAAAAATAATATGTATGCGAGTCGTGTATTCACATTGTATATTGTAGACAATGGAGCTCATTATCGGGACATGCTATTATCGGGACATTGACACATTGTCTGTACTTGTCATGGACCACACCTGGCATGCCTCCGCGCGCTGGTCGTGGACACATTGTGTGTACCTTGAATGTATCCCAAGATGTATGGACAATGTAACATAAGTTCAATCTGAGGGCCTGCTGGCAAATATGCAAATAAATTCTAAAGCATCAGACGCAAGCAAGTCGGGAAATTGATCGTACCGTTAACTTTTAACATGAACTCTGATTAGCACTACTCTCAATCTTATTGATGGGCTCCAGCCATTGCAACAGTCGCTGTTGCAATCTGCCCATTGACGAGGAAAAGCGGGGTGGGGGGTGGGAAGAGGAGATTCGACAGGTGGAAGGATGATGGGTCTAGAGGGGCAGGAAGGGGGTAAACAGGGGGAGGAAAGGTGGGGGAAAAGGGAGCAGGGGATAAGGGGGAAGGGATGCATCAGAGCGAAGGAGAGAGGTGGAGGAAGGAGAGGAGAAGAGGGGGAAAACAAGGTGAGGGAGAAATCAAGGGAGGGGAGAAGATTGACGAATCAGGAAAGTGCAGCAGAGGTAAAAAAACGTTGGAGGGAGAGAAGGGTGAGCTCCCAACCGGTGATGACCGGGAGGGGACATGGCAGGCGGGTCGGACATAGGGCCAGGGGGGTGTCAAGGGTAGCGGGATGGAGTAGGTGCCATGAGGTTTATCGAGTCCGCTAGAGGGCAGAATCATTTGCTTGCTTGCTTGTTTGCCTGTGGAATTGCTTGACTGCTTGTATGGTTTGCTGGTCCAGTCGTCTTTCTGTCTGCTTGCTTACATGCATGCTTGCTTGTTCCTTAGTCTGCTTGCCTGGCGACTTGCATGCTAGTTGTCTCTTTGCTTGGTGGCTACCTCGTCTGTCTGCTAGTAAGTTGTCTCTGCAGGACTATTAGTTTGGAAGATTGGTAGTAGATTGCTTTCATGCCTATGACTATCTAGCACCTGCCCCTACCGAGGACTTCGAGACGTTACAACGTAGAATAATCTGGAAGGGAAAAAAATAGAAAGGGCAAGCGATAATTGGAAGGGATATAATGGATGAAGGAGGAAGAAGATGAGGGGGTGGAGGCATGTGCAAGGGAAGAGGAATGTAATGAAAGAGGAGGGGAGGGGTGAAGGGAAAAAAATAAGAGTGCAAGAGTGATTGTGCAAAAGAGATGAGAATATCAAATCACGAGAGTGCAAAAATAGGAGATGACATACCGTACGACAACAAAGAGGAAGGACAATTGAAAGGGGTAGTGGGGTGGCGTGCAACAAAGAGGGGGGATGGGCTGAAGAGAGGAAGGCACACCTCGTTTACCTCTTACTGTGCAGACTTATTTCGCTCGAGTGGCGATGGCCTGGACCGCGCACCGCTTCCGCTTGCCTCATTCACCCTCGAGACTTTGCCGTACAACAACAAAGAGGAAGGACAATTGAAAAGGGTAGAGGGGTCGCGTGCAACAAAGAGGGGGGATGGGCTGAAGAGAGGAAGGCACACCTCGTTTACCTCTTACTGTGCAGACTTATTTCGCTTGAGTGGCGATGGCCAGGCCCGCGCACCACTTCCGCTTGCCTCATTCACCCTCGAGACTTTAAAAACAACACTGTCATCAACAATAGAGAGCGCAGGTAATTGCGTCCCGATCTGAGACGCATGAAATTGAGTCTCCCTCTTACTCACTCATCCACCTGTGCCTCACTCATGCGAGTCTCCACCGCCCTCCTTTTCCTGCCTCTACCATACGTGCGAAATGCTGCTTGCACTACCATCCCCTCTCTCCACATCTTCTTCACTTGGTTGCCGCTCTCCTTGTCGCCCTCCTCGTCTCCCTCCTCGCTGCCCTCCTCCTCCTCGCACTCTTCCTCACTCTCCTCCTCGCCCTCCTCTTTTCCCTCCTTCTCGCCCTCCTCCTGGCCCTCCTGCTCGCCCAATCCCTCCTCGCCCTCCTCCTTGCCCTCCTCGCCCTCCTCTTTGCCCTCCTCGCCCTCCTCCTCGCCCAATCCCTCCTCGCCCTCCTCTTTTCCATCCTCCTCCTGCCTTACCTGTACAACACTGTTCAACCGGTGTATCTTCCAGAGCCGTTGGGCGGCGTTGTACGCCTGAAGAGGCGTCAAGATGGGGTTTTCGCGGAAGATCTGAACCATGCGCGCGGGACACCACCGAGTCATCTTGCTTTGGACCGCGCTTAAGGCCCGCTTTTGCTTGCTAACATGGTGAATCACCCTCATGATCCTTACAATAAGGCAGGGTAGGGGTCCCTATTATTTTGTTTGGACTTGTTTGTGTAGGTCCTTCTTTTGAAAAACAAATCTTTCATACAGGCCTAATAATTCAATATGGTTTTATGTTAATGGGTTGATGCGGATTAGTAGGATTGATTATGACACTAATAAATACATCAAGATTACAGGGGGGTATAGCACGCACGTCCCAATCTGAGACGCATGAAATTGAGTCTCCCTCTGACTTGCATCCACCTGTGCCTCACTCATGCGAGTCTCCACCGCCCTCCTTTTCCTGCCTCTACCATACGTGCGAAATGATGCTTGCACTACCATCCCCTCTCTCCACATCTTCTTCACTTGGTTGCCGCTCTCCTTGTCGCCCTCCTCGTCTCCCTCCTCGCAGCCCTCCTCCTCCTCGCACTCTTCTTCACTCTCCTCCTCGCCCTCCTCTTTTCCCTCCTCCTCGCCCTCCTCCTGGCCCTCCTGCTCGCCCAATCCCTCCTCGCCCTCCTCCTTGCCCTCCTCGCCCTCCTCCTTGCCCTCCTCGCCCTCCTCCTCGCCCAATCCCTCCTCGCCCTCCTCTTTTCCATCCTCCTCCTGCCTTACCTGTACAACACTGTTCAACCGGTGTATCTTCCAGAGCGTTGGGCGGCGTTGTACGCCTGAAGAGGCGTCAAGGTGGGGTTTTCGCGGAAGATCTGAACCATGTGCGCGCGGCACCACCGAGTCATCTCGCTCTGGACCGCGCTTAAAGCCCGATTCTACTTGCTAACATGGTGAATCACCCTCATGACCCTTACAAAAAGGCAGGGTAGGGGTCCCTATTTTTTTCTTTAGACTTGTTTGGTGTAGGTCCTTCTTCTGGAAAATAAATATTTCATACAGGCCTAATAATTCAATATGGTTTTATGTTATTGGGTTGATGCGGATTAGTAGGATTGAATATAACACTCATGAATAAATCAGGATTACACGGGGGTATAGCACGCACGTCGCTAAACTTTCTACAACAATCAGTAGCAAAATATCATATTCAGCGGTTGTGCGCGTCACCTTGACGTCCTGGCGCGCGGCCGCCAAGACACAGAATACCAGCAAAAAGGTACGAGCACGATAGCATATTATAAGCACCCAATTACATATATTTGCCCATTCCACCCAACCATCCTAAATTTTCCCCATTCCACCCACACTCACTTTAGACCGCAACACCCTTCATCGTCTCATCTGTCATTTTTTCGCACAGACTTCAGTTTCATGATTCATCCATTCTAGCTCTGATTGTAGCCTCCCCACTCCTCCCTCCGCACGTTAGCTCATTGAGTTACCTTTCGCACGTTTGCTTTTGACAAACAACGACCCCACTCTCTCCCACGAACGTGCCTCGGTTATTTAAAGCCAGTTCCTATGCGTGTGGGGAACGAGCTTTTCGTAAACAGACGCGCGTCAAAGGGCATGCATTGCCCACAACTAAAGGTCCCACCTCCACACCTTCTGTTGCCATGACACCAGCTCCTTAGGCAGCCGATCCAACACTTCAATCGGTGGATGTTGCATGGGATTGGAGTTCCTCGAAGCGCAAGCCCGCCGAAAGTGGCGTGCGACAAAAAGGCGTCGACGGAAGCTACGCTTCACTCGTGAGGCTAGTCCTGTCGACGAATTGGCCGATGAAGATTAGGACCCCTCCCCTCCCCTCCCCCCCCCCCCCCCAAGATACTCGCAATTTCGAAGTCGCCTTTGCAACCGCACACACGCGATATAGGACTTCGTGTGAAGTTTTATTCCTGTGGCTTGTCTTATCATACACTGATGACATATTTCCTATGTTGAAATGCAGCATCTACATGGAGCATGGTGCGAACAATGCTAACACGGCATATGGCAAGAGCGGAGATGGTGGTCGTAACATGCGGAAGCAAAGCATCCGTATCCATCAACACTCCACAGCACATATGAATGCCCACGCTTCAATGAAGGTGAAGTAGATACGGAAGATGTGTCAAACGTTACTGAATGAGTTAAGGGACTCGACAAGAGCATCCTTCATCTCATAACTGCATTGAAGACTGCAGTTTTCACATGCAAACCAAAGCTCCGATCACATTTCACATGCAAGAGGTGGGAATGCCAAGTCTCTAGCTAGATAAGTGGAAAAGCTATTATACAGAGTAAACATTCGAATGGTAAAAAGGTGTTATTTGTCCTTTTGTTTTTGTTGCGAACTGTTTTTGAATGCTTCGTCATGAATGTGTATGGATTCGGCGAGTTGCTGAAGACCGCTTCGTAGTATCTACGCCATAAATAACTTCAACAAATCGCAATGAGTCCTTACCTTGGCATCACGTTGGGTGAGAGTATAAATTGGGTGCGCGTATAACATGTTATTGTGTACGTTAATTATTAGCAAGGCGATGTGATCGTTACGGAATTCCTGTTGCTGCTATCTGTTGAGAAGTGTGACGTCGCAAGCTTATTATGTTCTGCTAACGCATATACAGTCGATAGACATCGACAGCAGCAGCGACGGGGCTGCTTTGATGATCGAAGAACATATTGGTCTTGTCGCCCGTCTGAAAGCGAAGGACCCATGCCTCGTTTCTTATGGGTGTATCACCAATCAATAAGAACAATGTTTGATTTTGAGGGGAGGGCCAAATTCGTTGTACCCCTAGTATCGATGTTACCACCTCTCAAGAACTAAATATATTGAATGCATGATGTTTGCAGCGAGGTTCATGCAGCCAAGGAAGCTTATGGAGTTAAATATCATCAACCGAGCAGTCCCTACCACGACACAGTTGCTATCATAGAACTCCATGTACCACAAACGGTCCCGGCATGTGCAGGAGATCGTCCGCAAGACGAACCTCGACTTAGAGGGCATTTATGTCGTAGAGTGGTTATCACGGGGGGGAGGAGGCGAAGCGCTTCGCCAAGGTAATACTGGCGGCAATGCTCTTGCTACACAAGAAGATACGATGTACAATGCCAACGCATTGTTCAAGTTTCACATTGTCTACTTCCTCGCCGAATTTTTGGGCATCCTTAACGAGTTGAACACTAAGTTCGAGCAAATTATCCCTGGCTTGTTGAAGTCTGATCCATTGACAACGAGGACCGGTCTGGCATAGATCGATCTCCTCTCCTTAATGAATTTATAAAGAAGCTCGCTGACCTACTCCACCGAGAAGTAATAGTCGATGGAGTCGACCGTGACGATGCTCCATCGGTTCACACGTTCCATCTATACGAGTGGGCAATCATAGGTCAATCCAGTCAATGTCATTACTGCTCGTGCAAGAATATTTGTCAAGAGTATAAGTGTGAGACAAAGGCACGACTGGAGTATATACTAGAGGGTTCGAGAACACAAATGGCTCCAGAATACTAGGACCAGCTATGTATCCCAAGAACAACAGTTTATGTACCACATATGGCGTGCCCTTCAAAGTGGCGAAAGAGATGAGACTCGACAAGGTCAAAAAAAGAATCACTTCAATTTACATCCACCCATGCATTTGCTCTTGCATCAATGGCAGCAATAAAAAGGGCAACACCATCACAGCATGAAAGTTGTCATGCCTTGTTCACCATCATCATTCGCTTTCCTGGCCTCCTCTTTTGACCAGCCGGCCTCCAGGTGTTATGCTTTTGCAATTGTCAAACCCGGGCTAGAGCCAGGCGACAACCAGCCTATCTCTTCTATTGCCTTTGCTTCCTTAAAAGCCTCTCCAAAGCACTCCGATGCCACAGTGATCACCTCTGCCGATCCTCGGTGAGTCGAGCCTCGGTAAACCACCTCTGGTATAGTGGTGCGCTTTTTTCCACATCGTCACCTTTGCCGTCATTTACCCCGTCGGCACCTCCCCATAGAGCTCTGCTGTGACCCCCGCCAGAATATGTGTTAACAGGAATGGAGTGTTGGCCCCGCCCTCGCTTGGGCAACGCCGACGACTTGGTCGGATGTACGGGAGTAGCAGCCGACCGTTCACAGTGGGAGAGCTGCTCAACAGGCATCGTCGAGCTGCAGGGGACCACTGTGGTGCTGCTGTCGACCAGGAAGCTCGACAGCTGCAACTGACTGGTCTGGGCGACGGGTGGGCCGTCGACCAGGAGGGGCAGTTCGACCGGGAGGTCTCCGTCGACCTGCAGCTCGACCAGGGGGTCCCCGTCGACCTGCAGCTCGACCGGGAGCAGTCTGTCGATCTGCAGCTCGACCGGGAGCAGTCTGTCGTTCTGCAGTTCGACCGGGAGCTCGACGGAGCAGTCCATCGACCTGACAAGTGGGCAGCGGTCGACGAGGGGAGCTCGGCGACAACCGCTGACGGTTCTGGTCGACGGAAGGGGTCCGTCGACCAGGGGGTAGCTCGACGGGAGCTGTGGTCGACCAGGGGCGCCTGGTGGTCGACCAGAGGGACCTGGTGGTCGACCAGAAGCAGTGGTGGTCGACCGGAAGCACCTGGTGGTCGACCGGGTCGACCGGGTAACCTGCTCGACGAGTTCTGCGGGGGCACGCGAACGTCGTCGAGGTCGCAATGGCGCAGGCGACTGCGGGCTGGTATCCCGAAGTCGATGTGGCTCGTCAGGCGCAGATAACAGCCGACGGATGCCCAAGGAGGCAAGTCGGGCCAATCGTCTGCGCGCACCTGCGAGCGTGCGCACTGCTGTGTTCTACGGGGCAACGCTGGACAGCCGCTCTGCTGCAGCGTTGGCACGCCGTCGACCTGCTCTGTTGGCAGGTCGCCCTTCTGCAGTGGCTGGCGCGGCTCCTCTACGCAACGCTGGCAGGCGGTCGACCGAGCTGTGCTGGCGGTCGACCAGGCTAGTTGCAGGGTTGCTAGGTGCCTGATGTAGTCATTCTGTCATTGCTTGTTCAATCATTCTGTAGTTCCAACTTTGCTAGTGGAAACTCTTTCCGATTTCTCTCGTGAATGTGCAAGCACTAAGGAACCAAGCAAAGCTACGATCACTCCTAGTAGTTCGTGCCAACCCCCGTAGTCTAGCTCACTACCGTTGTAGAGTGTCTCTCCGCATGGTGCGGTGATCGTGGACGGCCCCGCAAATACCTTCAGATAGGAGCCGACTTTTGCACCTACTAAGTCGTTCGTAGGCCGGCAGTAGCGATAGTCACCATGGTCGACCCCGTAGTTGATGCGGGCGTAGCGGACACCTTGGAGGCACGTTTGGCTGACGCAAGGAGATGCCACGCGGATGGCGAGTACGGGACGATCCCCTTGGTGATCGTCGAGTTGGGCATCCGGTCACAGTGGGTGACGGAACACCCTTCCCGTCCTGCATCTCCTCGACCGGTGCGCAACGAGGGTGGCGTCAACGACGAGGTCAACGGTGGTGCACGAGTCAGCGGCAGCGAAGGCACGAGGCAGAGTGGGGTGATCAAGGTCGGCGGAGGCGTCGACGGAATCCAGGCACGAGTGCAGCGGTCGACGGCGGCTGCAGGCAACTCGCGTGCCGACGTCGATGTTTGACGTCGCTCTCCTCTACGAAGCGGTGGAGGGCTCTCGGCGACGACGCATGTGACGGCGGGCGGGATTGCACCGGCGTATGGCTACTTCAAGTTCTCGCCGGACCGGATCACTGTCGCACCGCTGCAAGGTCGACGGGACCTCATCACCTGGAGGGAGTCGATCGAACCTCAGCTGGAGGTCGCCGGGCTGAAGGGCTTCGCCGACGGCACAGTGCCAATTCCACCCGTGGACGATGTCGAGCTGCGCGGGGAGTTTCGAGCGGCTCACTTGCTCACCTTCATGGTCATCTCGAGGTGCTGCTCGCCGGTGGTGCAGCTGGCACTCAGGAGCTGTCGAGAGCGACTGGATGCTGGTCACCAGGCATGGCACTTCATCCTGTCGACGTACCAGGTCAGGGACGACCTATACATCAGGCAGCTGGAGGAGAAGATGACTCACATTCGGATGGGCGAGCAGGAGTCGGCGACGGATTACTGCAACCGTGCTCGACGGATCCTGGCTGAGATGCGGATGGCGGGCGCCAAATACTCGACGGCATCCTACATCACCCACATCGTCAAGGGCTTGCCGCGCAGCTACAATCTCATGAAGAGGATGATGATGGTGCCCGGCACGCGTGAGTCCCTCGACGAGGACTCCATCACCAGCTATATCCTTCAAGATGAGGCGATGCAGGAGGCCGAACAGCCCACAGAGCTCCTTCCGCAGGCAAACTACGCTGCATCGACGAAGCTGAATCAGCAGCAAGGGCAGCGCGGGAAGCCAGGCGGAGGTGGTAGCGGAGGTGGGCGGTCGACGAAGGACGTCGACGAGAAGCGGTCGACGCGGGACAAGGGCCGACGAGGTGGTGGTCGATGGCGGGAGTGCTGGATCTGCGGCGACCCCGACCATCTCTCCTTCGAGTGCCCCTACCGCGATGACAGCGACGAGGACGACAACAAGGGAGGTCGCGGTCGATCGGCCAGTCGTCGCCCCCGTCGAGATAAGAAGCCGCGCCAGGAGAAGCAAGCTTCGAAGAAGACGTCGTCGACGAAGGACGTCGACAACTCCAGCGGCAAGGGCCGAGGCGAC